TTAGTGACTCATCTAAGGTACTCTTCAGGACCCTGGTCTCAGACTTGTTCCCTGTATATAGTATTTTGCCTTCCAGCTCCTGCTGGATGTTTGCACAGATGCAGCTAAGTGCCAGGACCACTGACAGCACAGTGGAGTGAGAAGTGTGTTTGATGCATATGGAGAGTTAGGTCTTGATGGTGTCAGATACAGAGCAGCAACGAAGCAAAATGTCCACACTGGTTATAGGTTACACCTGTCAGGGACCAAGTCCTTCTCAAATGATCCAGAGTGAATGTGGGCACAAAGTCCCTGAACTCATCTCTCCTTGTGGGATTAGTGGTATAGCATAGGTTTAACCACACACACCTGAAGAAGTGGATATGGGTGTGTGTATGATGACAAGTGAAAAATGCATCAGGAGCTGTGACCCCACAGTCCTGAGGTTGAACAAGGCAGTAGTTGTGTCCATGCTTTCCTTATGGTGGCTTCAGGGAGAGCTGGAGAGTCCTCTGGGCTCCGGTTAAAATTTAGGGGCTAGAGTCATTGTTATCAAAGTGAACTGAATTGAGAGCTATCTGCAGATGTCCTGCCCTCCTGATGTGCTGCAAACTCTCCAGCTGATGGCTTATACCATGTTGTTTTAATAGCAGTACTTACAAATACTCGTTAGGAGGGAAGGAGTTAATATTCAAAAGCCCAGTTAAATTTGTATTCTCTGTGTTTGTAAGCAGAAATCCACAAAAGGAAAAAAAATTCTTAGGCTAGGAGGTGCTGATCAGAGCCTATGCTTCCAGGCAAAAGGCTTATTTAGTCCCTCTGTCCTGATATTTTATCTTCCATCTTCCATACCATATGGGTAATTATGACATTGTGTTCGGAGAATGCTGTGAAATGTTCCCCAGAAGGATTAGAACTTGTCTCCTACACAACCTACGTCTGCCCATTACCTTGCAGACACATCTCTTCACGACTGTCTGTTTTGAAACTAGGCTGGGGATGACCATCTACTAACAAAGTCTCCCAACCTCTGCTAGCTATCCCAGGACTCCAAAGGGTCACACAGCTGAAACAGGCGACCTGGCACTAGGAACCATAGAGAAATGAAGTCAAGATGCTAGTGTTGCCACGGAGAGCTCAGACTCTGGAGCCAGATGGTTTTAGTTCAAATCTCATGCTTAAGTCCTCTCTGTGCCTCAGTTTCCTCTAGTGGGAAATGACAGTGCATATAATAGGACTGCTTGAGGACTGTCTTGGATCAGTGTGTAAAGTGTTTGACACAGACCCTGCACACACTAAGCCCTTGTTAACCGCTAAATGTTATTATTTTCTGCATTCAGGATGATTCCTTTTCTTCCTTATGTCCTTGGAACCTCCACTCTGTGACCTTCTCCCTAATTTACATTTATGGAGCCAGCTGTTCCAATAGCCTCTCTTTCTTCTGGTTGGGGATGGGAAGGAAAAGCACCTTGCATATGAGCTCTTATTATTTTTTGGTATTGCTTACAGTGTCATCTTAAACCAATATGCCACAGCTCATTTTCATTCGGCGCTAAGGGCCCTTTAAACCAGCCATTCCCCATTTACTCTGTTTTAAAAAAGGAAGGTCTTCAGGTTTCATGTTCCTTTATTGTATTTTTGTAAGGTACAGCACACATATTGGATGCTATGTAAATGTGAAAGACTCTAACAATAGTAAGAGACAGATGAGAAACTCGAGGAAGTGGAGTCACCATTTTGAATTTAGCTTTTTATCGATGGGCTGAGTGATTTGGAAGAGACAATGTGGCTCCAAGTCTAAAGAGCCCACAGGGATTTCAATGGCAAAGGTTTGAATCTCAGTCACAGCAGCAGCTCCGGTGACCCAAGGCAAGCAGCTTCCTTCCGCTGGCCCTCAAATTCTCCCCATGAATACTGGGCGTGATGCCAGGCCATATGTGGCTGTGCAGATTGTGCACTGCCAAAGGGTGCCAACTGAGGGGGCAAATGGGGCATATGATGTGGTCCATACTCTATCAGTCTGTACCCTGGTAGTGGGTTGTGTCCATCCAGAGGAAGAGGGTGCTTTGCCCTTTTATTTTGCACAATAGTATTAATATGGGATAGTAGAGACCCTGAACTGAGTGACCTGAAAGGAGTAGGACACGGAGTTTAGCAAACAAAATGTACAAATGAATTTAACAGCATCACTAAATACTTGCTATGTGCCAGGCCCAATGCTAGGGCTGAAGATATGGATGCAGGCAATTAATACCCGCGGTCCTACCCTTTCTTCTCCAGCCCTTCCTCCACTCTATTCAGTCTATGAACAAGTCTTGTCAAACTCCCCCACTTTTCTCCATCCCAATGCCAGCACTGACCTTCATTATGTTGCAAGGACTCTCACCTTTACTCCTGTCCTTCAAACAAAAGCAAGGGGGCTTGTATTAAAATGCGAATCAGATAATATTACCCCATTTCAACCCTTCGGTGAGTATAATTTAATTCAGGGTTCTCACGATGGTTCCCATTCTGTCCCCTGAAGCAAAACTAACTCTCTTGTCCTTTAAATGGCCTAGTTCTCCAGTTGGTCTAGCCCTTTTGGCTGGAGCAATGATTGGATCTCCCCTTAGTCATCTCTTTCTCATCCTCAGTGCTAAGTGGGCAGGCAGCTCTTCCAAGAAGCCTCCTTGTGAGCCACCTTGTTAAAGTTACCGAGCTCTTCAATTGTACAGCAGCCCAGCTTACTTTGAAAGCAGAGACTTCCACATCTTTGGACTTACCTGCTAGATTGTTAAATACCAAACCAGTGAGGACCTTGCTTATTAATTCTTCACTAAGGGCCTTGCTAAATCTCTGATACACAGTACTTAACATCAATTATACTTGTTAGACTAAGTTGATGAACAGAATCCATCCAGGAGAGAAGTACTGAGATTGCATAATGTAGGGATGAGCACTATGACAAAGGCTGTGATGTGTTAGGTGAGGCAGGGGTGGCTGATGGGGAACGCCAGCTGTTGATTTTTGTGATGCAAATACTTCCTTTTGCCAGTGGTTTTAGTAACTCATCATGGGTAGCAGATACTCAACAAAGGCTTGGTGGATGGAGCAATACTTGGTTTGTGTATTTTGTAGAAACTGTGGTTTGTTGGATCAGACCCAATTCTGCTAAGCTAGTAAACAGCTCTGTTTCCTAGTAGCCTACATTTAACTGTTCCTGGTTTCCCTAGTCAGCCTACCTCTGCTTACCTGGGCATTATCACATGACTTAATGCAAACCTCAAACAGTCTGGCTTTTCCCAGGTCTGACTGTTTGCTTAGACGAAGGAACATTGATTCCTGACTGTCTTAGTTAGGGTTTCTATTGCTGTGATGAAAAACCATCACCCAAAAGCAAGTTGGGGAGGAAAGAGTTTAGCTTGCACTTCCAGATCATAGTCCATTATGGAGGAAGTCAGAACAGGAACTGAATTAAGTGGGGCTGGAACCTGGAGGTATGAGCTGATGCTGAGACTTGCTTACTGGTTTGCTTCCCCTAGCTTGCTCAGCCTGCTTTCTTATAGAACCTAAGACCAGCTCAGGGATGGCACCACCCACCATGGGCTGGAACCTCCTCCACTGATCACTAATTGAGAACATGCCCTACAGCTGTAGCTCATGGAGACATTTCCTCAGCTGAGATTCCTTCCTCTCTGATGACTCTAGCTTGTGTCAAGTTGACACACAAAACCAGTCAGTACACTAACCTAGGCTATGGCAGTAGTAGAGAAAGAGAATACTTTTCTTCCACAATTCCTATTAAAGCTGATGATTGTGAGTGTGTGTGTGTGTTTGCTGTTGCTGCTTTTACTTTTTGATATGGAACTATTTGATTAGTGTCTGTCTCTTCTTAAGGGACTATAAACTCCATAGGGGTAGGGACTGTTTTTTCTATTTATTATTTTCAGTCCCTAGCACTGGTACATTGTAAACAAGAAAATACAATAATTTTGATGATAAAATCACTCAGGGGGGAACTTTTTAAGGAAAGTTCATACCTATGTACCCTATGATGAGATTGGTATGTCTTCTCTCTTTGGACCTCTGAAGGGATGGGAAGGAGAGTAGTGGATTGGGACACTTATTTTGTAAAAGCTGTCCAAGGTGTTCACTTTCATTCCTTCTCTCAAACTCAACTAAATGGTGTTTTCACAGGATTTTAACACAAACATGACTTGATTAAACTTGTTATTTACACAAATTGACCTTTGGCAGTGGGGAGGACCCCACAGTGGTGCTGAGATCAGTAAAGGGGGCAGTAATCAGCTAAGTAATCAGCAGGTGCGATGTAAATAACTGGCAGTGGAAATGTAAGGGAATAGACTCAAGAGCTAGAGCTAGAGAATCTACAGGGTTTGGTTACCATTAACATGGATGGAAGAGGCACTCGAGACAGACCAAAGGGAAGAGGCAACGAACGCCAGGGAACAAACAGGAGAGGCAGTCCGTACTTTTCGAATATTTCTTTTTTTCTTTTATGGTTTTGGAAGATTGAATATATCCTTAGCCCACCAAAGCTTTCAAGGTTTTTTTTTTTTTTTTTTTTTTTTTGACAAGCCTGCAAGACAGAAATAAGAAAAGGCTGTCTAGAAGTTGTGAGTACAATAAGCTAAGGTGAAAAGGGGCTGGGCTGGGTTCCCCCTCCCCCGATTGTAAGAACTGCAGAGAACAATATTTAAAAGGAGAATTCGAAAAAAAGAATTATAGGAAGAGACTGAGTTGAACAGTTTGGAATGAGGAAGGCAAACCTGGATAGTGTCATAGAAAATAAATGTCCAACAGCATCAAATGAGTAATGCAAGTCAGACAGCCTGAAAATACTTCTAGTGGGTTTGGCGACAAGGACACTGGCTGCATCAAGGACATTTTCCGCGGGGGCAGAATCTGCAGTGTGGAACACAGCATACACAGGGAAGGAAGTGGAGACACTAAGCGTAGATTACGCTCGAAGAAACTCGCCTGTGGACGGGGAAAGAGACACGGTATGACTGAGTAGGACGTGAGGAGATTTGAGCATATTCACAGCTGACGGTGGAGACGGAGGATGGACGGTCCAGGAGTTAGAGGGGCGTTAATGACTTCCCGCCCTCTCCATTTGCCAGCTCCGCCCCTATGTGACGTGCAAGAACTCACAAAGACTACAACTCCCAGAAGGCACCGCGGCGTGGGCGGAGCCAAAGCCTGGCGCGCACCCCAGCGGCGAGCGGAAGAGCAGGCGATTCATGGTGGCAGCGGAAGCGGAGAGCGACGGCGTCCCGGTAACCACGAACCCCTGTCCCCTATTCTTTCTCACCCTGAGCTGGGGCTGGTTGCTCCTGCTTCTCCCCTCCCGCCCGGTACAGGACCCTCTATTTGGGTTTTCTTTTTCACGTGACTCGCGGGGCAGGTTCCCGCCTGGGGTGGGGGCTTTTAGGAAGCTCCCGCCCTTCGACCCCTAAGGACCCCGGACGGGAGGGCCCTTCTCAGGTCCTTTCTGTCTCTTCAGGGATCGCAGGCCCTGCCTGCCTTGAGCCTCAGCCCTAATGCTTCTCGTAGGGATCTTCTCCCCCGAGTGTGTCAACAGGTAGCGGGGTCTGTGGGGACCCCCTTTGGGCTGCGGGGCTGTGGTCATCGAGGTCGCTCTGCCATGACCTCCGGGTCGCAGGTTCCCGGGCAGTGCTCGGTGGTGGCGCGTCTGCTCCGCTGCCGGGAGCCCCCGGGCTATGGGCTGGCAGTGAGCAGTTTATAAAGTAGTGTGTGTGTGTGTGTGTGTGTGTGTGTGTGTGTGTGTGTGTGTGTGTGTGTGTGTGTGTGTGTGTGTGTGTGTGTGTGTGTGTGTGTGTGTGTGTATACACTTCCTGCTCTTCTTGGGCGGTCCTCGGAAAACTTCCAAATTCCCTTATCGAAAGTTTCCTCAAAACTTTTTTCCGCCGCTCTGAGCTGTGAGGGAAGGCGCACAGGGCTTTAGTGCTTGGATCATGAGAGGATGCTGGGTTGGCTCCACGCTGGACTTGTGATCGTTTGTAGTCCTATCTATTACTACCACCTCGGTTTCCCTGTCCGGAAAAAAAAAATGGGGGGGGGCAGTCTTTTTGGCGTCAGGGTTACGGGTTTCAGCAGAAATGATGTACGCGTGAGACGTTTGGACTGTAACGCCTGTTTAAACTAAAGCTTTAGTATTCTCCCTTGCTCGATCCAGGCCAGTTGCATTTTAAAATCACGTTCATGTCTTTATGAGGACTGGAGTTAATAAGTGTTCTCTTTAGGAATTGAGATGAAACAAATGTTATGGTAGGTTTCTACTGGAGAGGTGGCTTCGGGGCCCATCAGAATGTGGACTGCCTTCCATACAGTTAGCTAGCTGCCCCTCGTGCTCTGTGACAATTCCTTGTGTAAGCACTACACCTAACAAGCATTTCCTAAGACTTGGGGCTCCCCAGGCTTGTGGTTTCCCCTCCTTTTCAGGTCCTGTCCATGTAGCAGGTGCTTTCTTTAGCTGTTTGGTGTGCACTTGCTAGGAGTTTCCTCAGAGGAGTCAGAATATAAATAGCCATTATTGTAGTCTGTTTTCTGACTGTAAAGATTTGCGATTCTGAATGGCTGTAAATTTATAGTTGTTTTTGTGAACTTCCTGCCCCCTTGTAGAGAAGTGTCCGAACAAATAAGGATTTGGGATATAGTAATTTTTAAATTTGTTTGTTTGAAATTGTTGATTGGAAAATTTTAAAATGTGGTTTAGAAAAAACAAGGATAGAAGGAAAGTGTATTAGGTCAGTGTGTAATGTTGAACAGATTTGAATTCAAATCCTGGTATTGGGACTTACGTTGGGCAACTTAATTGACTTCTCAGAGCCCGTTTATTTCTAAGATGGAATTAACAGCATTTACTTCACAAGATGTTTGTGAAGATTATGTAAAGCATCAGTGATGGAAAGGGCATGTAAGTTAAATTACAACAGCCTAGCTTAAAACTGAGTTGGACATAGCGGTGCACACCTTTATTTCTAGTGCTTGGGAGTCAGAGGCAGGAGGATCTCTGTGAATTCAAGGTCAACCTGGTCTACAAATCAGTTCCAGGTCAATCAGAGCAACCTGGTGAGACTCTGAAACAAATAAAAACAAAAATTTGGTCTAAAGGAGCCTTGGTGACCTGTAGTGAGGTATTGTCTATGATTTGTTAAAGCTTGCCTGAGGATTCAGAAAACAAAGTCAGTCACAGGCCACAGAAGCCAGGTCCACACCTTTAATCCCAGCAGCCGGAAGCAAGGAAGTGGTGGTACACACCTTTAATCCTAGGACTCAGGATTAAGAGATAGATGGATCTCTGTGAGTCCAAGGCCACCCAGATCTACACAAGAGTGAATCAGTACAAAAGAGAATTATAGCTCTCACCTTTAATCCCAACATTAGTGAAGCATATAAGACAGAAGCAAGGTCTCAGAAGAGGCGTTCCTTCTCCATCCACACCGAGGAAAGGCAGCAAGTTTGAGACTTGGTGAAGAGCTTGTTTGTGGATCAGTCCTTTCAGCCTGAGCTAGAGGTAACAGCTAGTCGCCAGCTGCTTTGCTTTTCTGATATTCAGTTTGAAGCTTGAACCCAATGTCAGTCTCTGGGTCATTTATTTTTTGTGTTATAGTGACCCTCATTTTTTTTAAAGGTGAAAACTTAATGATTACTTTTGCTTATGTCCTGGCTCTGTATGTATCTGTAAGGAATAAGTTTAGAGACGCCAAGCCTTACAGACAGACAAATGATTTGTTGATCAGGACAAAATCTTAGACAGGGTTTCTCAGTGTAACAGTCTTAGTTGTCCTAGGACTTACTTTGTAGACCAGGCTGGCCTTGAACTCACAGAGATCCAACTCTCTCTGCATCCACCAACCCCCACTGTGTCCGGCTATGTCAGGATAAAATCTGGATCGAAATATGATGGGCAGAGGTAGTGCACACATTTAAGCTCAGCATTCGAGACCAGCGTGGTCTACAAAGCAAGTTTCAGGACAGCCAACACTACCCAGAGAAACCCTAGCTTGAAAAGACCAAACAACAATAACAAAATAAAGAATTGAAATACTCTTTTTATTTTCTTCAGGTGTCTCATTGGCTGCCAGATATCTACATATTTAGATGCTAAGGAAATATTTCCAATATTTCCTTTTTTTTTTATACTTCATCTTCACTAAAAGGCCAGGAAGCAATTATTCTCTTTCATGTTGTGCTCTGTGCTTTTTAGATTCATTCTTACCTTTAGTCATGCTTCAGCATGATTTTTTTTGCATAATGGTGTGTGTGTGTGTACACGTGTATATATGTGTGTATAGTAACACACATGTATGAATATATAGCTATAATATTAGAAAGTTATGTAAATTAAAAGCTACTTTGTGCATATTGTGTTGTTTCCTTTGTTTCAAAAAAATTGCTTTTTGACTCCTTTTTACTTAAAAGTACTTTGGAAGGTAGATTTCATTCATAACTGTATACATAGTAGACCTCAAGGTTGATGAATAGGAATGTTTTGTTGACTATCTTATGCTATATGGCACAATTAGGTGAGGCCATACTGTATTGTGGTAATACCTAAGCTTTGGAGTAAAGTTCTGAATCCAGTCTTTCTCTGCTGGGTTAGCCTTAGTTCCTACTTTTGAATTCACTTCATCATCAGTAAAGTAGGGATATTAGCCTGCATGGCAGAAAAGAGTCTTGAGATAGGCATATATTAGTCAAGTTGAGGAGAAAAGAGTTGCTCATTAATATTTTTAGTTTTTATTGTTTTATGGCGGTTATAGATTTTGATTATGATAATTACTCTCTTAATGTTTTACACTATCAGTGTGTTTCTTTGTTACCCAAGGTTAAGGTGGTTGACTGTGACTATGGAGCCTGAAACATTGCAAAGCTAATTGGCCCTCATGGAGTTTGAATCTGTGACCTGCTCTCATTAACTTCATGCACTAAGTATTCACAGATAACTGACATATTTTTTTTAATTTGGTATTCATGTACCTCATTAGATGTAAGTAAATGAAACAGTGCCAAGAGTAAAAGTATAGATTTTTAATTAAAAATTTATGAAGCTAGCCCTCATATAATATATAAAACTGGCAACCTATAGGACCAACCTCTTACCTGAGCTATAATTTAAACGTTTCATTGTTGAGTTATATTTATGGTAGAGTTCCTACTCATAGAAATGAAGAGCAGACTATTCATGTGTTGAAAGAGGACCCGGCTTCTGTGCTACTCACCAGAAAAGGTGCTCTTAGCTTGAAGGGAAAACATGAATGAGCCCAGCAGGATGGATGAAGCCTGGGTAACTCCTAAGAGCTTATTGAATTCCAGAGAGATTTAGTTGTCAGAGCATTAGATAGGAGAAAAGTTATAGGGTGTTGTTCAGTGGCAGCAAACCTGCATTTGGAGAGTGTTTTCTCCTCTGAATAAGCCATACACCATTTTTTCCCAGTCTGTGGTGTGGTTTTTTTTTTTAACTATATCATGTTAGCTTTCTGTGTAGTTGACCATGTTTCAGATTCACTACACTTTATTACTATTTGTTGCTTCTCTCCTATCTCTCTCTTTTTATGCCAAACATGGCCAGTTTAGGATTGGGGATAAAAGCAGACATAAAGAAGCAATATTGGGAAAAAAGAGAAGAGCAATATTGGAGTCAGCAAGTTCCGGTATATATAGTATTGTGAGGTTTTTTTTGAGCAAGTGGATTAACTGTATATGATGATACAAATTTCTGGAATGACAAGTGCTGATCATTAATGACTTAACATTAAACTTGATGCAGGATTGAACATGTGGGCGAAAGGTGTGTAGTATTCTTTAATAGCAAATTTCCTTTTTAAGAATTAATCTGAATGTCTGTTACCATTAGCTTACAGTTGGACTGTTTTGAATTCTTTGCTGTGGAATTTCACAAGAGAATTAAAGAAAGAAGGGGAATTACTTAGATTTAAATCCTGTCAGCTTTATACTGGTAGTCTGTTTCTGTTTTCAGAACTGTAAAATGGGCATAATACTACCAATTCTACTCTAGAAATGAAAGGAAAAAGTAAAAGATGTTTTGAAATAGCGTTAATAACACAGGGAAGAGTAAAGAATCTGATAGATACTGTCTTAAAACTCAGTAGGCAGAGTGAGGGGCTGTCAGAGAAGAGTCAGGCACATCAGGTGGGACACTTGCCACAGCTTCTTAAGAAGTGCAGAGAGGGCAGTTCTAGAAGGCCATTCCAGAAATGAGAGGGGGATAGTTAAAGGCCTGGGATGAGCG